ATAAACTCAAAATGGATGAAAGATCTAAATGTGAGACAAGATTCCATCAAAATCCTAGAGGAGAACACAGGCAACACCCTTTTTGAACTCGGCCACAGTAACCGGAGAAGGACAAACAGTGTATGTTCTCATTCATTTGGGGAATATGAATAATAGTGAAAGGGAATATAAGGGAAGGGAGAAGAAATGTGTGTGAAATATCAGAAAGGGTGACAGAACATAAAGACTCCTAACTCTGGGAAACGAACTAGGGGTGGTGGAGGGGGAGGAGGGCGGGGGGTGGGGGTGAATGGGTGACGGGCACTGAGGGGGACACTTGACGGGATGAGCACTGGGTGTTATTCTGTATGTTGGTAAATTGAACACCAATAAAAATTAATTTATAAAAACAAAACAAAACAAAACAAAAGACGCCGATAAGTGTTTTTATTTCTTCTCCTTAGGATGCTAAGCTCTCTTACTCTCAGCTTCTGCCCCCCTTTTGGGGGGCGTCCCTCTCCTCCCTTGTTAACCTCTGCCTTCTTAGTGTCTGCTGTCCTCTTTCTTCCAAGCCTGTGACCCTCCCAGGACCCCCGCAGTTTGTCACTCAGGGGCTCTCTGTCGTGAAAGCCACTCCACAGTTCCCATGGAATGTTCTGGTTCTCTTCTTTTTCCAGAGGAGGGGGTATAGGCAAGGAAGGAGCAAAGGGCCATCGCTGTCCATGTTCGACCAGCCCGGTGAAGCAGGGTCAGCCGGCACTCCACTGCTGGCCAGCCAGATTGAGCGTACATTTGCAGCCACATCTGGAACCTGTGAATGATTCCATGACTCGGAAGCAAGGAACGGAAAGGTCCTCCATCTGCACTTAGCCGAGGATGGGGCGAAGACAGAGAAGTCTAGCCTACTCATTTCCTTCCCCTTTCTCCCCAGCTGCTCCCCAGCAACCCTCTCCAAGATTCAAAGGACAAGTTGAGTTCAATTCGGAGAGAAGACTCAGGACACTGGCTAGTAGCCCAAAGACCTGAGGGGCTGCTATGTGACACTTTTTACAGCAATCTTTTGAAAACAGACCTAGTCATGGCGTCCTCTCTGCTTAAAACTCTCTAGTTTCCCATTGCCCTTGGAGTGTGTTCCAAAGTCCTGAGCATGACCATCACCTTGCGCAGTCTAGCCCCCGCCTATCTTCTGCCCTTGGCTTGTGTCCTCCACACGAGGCTCCAGCCACGCTGCCCTCCTCTGTGCCTCAAGCTCACCAAGCTCCTCTCTGCCTCAAGACCTCCTAATACCCCGCACCCCCTTCCTGGGATGGGTTCCCCCAGGATGGGTGTGTGGCTGAGCTCTTTTAGGGTCAGCTAAAATGCCACTTTCATTCAGAGAGGCCTTCCCTCTCTAAATAGCCACCCTCAAGGCACTCACTGTTCCTTGTTCCTCCTGGTATTTTCTTTCATGACATTTATCTTTATTTGCCACCGTGTGTGTGTGTGTGTGTGTGTGTGTGTGTGTGTGTGTTCTTTGGCTGGTCCTCCTCTAGGTCATAAAGCCCACAAGGGAAAAGTGGAGTATTTTTAATACCACTGTGTGCAGTTCCTGTCACATAGTAGGCATTTAATTAATGTTTATTGAAAGGATAAACGACTGACTTTAAGCTGCACTTGATAAAAGTATAATCCCATTAATGTTATATTGGTCACAGGGGAAGTCCTGGAGACTTCCACTTCATCTGTCTCTGTATCAGTTTCTTCATCCAATCAGGATGACCCTGCATCTGACCCCTGCCTACATCTGGCCTTGACCCAGCCTCCTCTTTCTACAAAGCTGGGGATTGCCCTGAGATGCTTCCTTGAGTTATCTTCCGCTCCAACTTGCTCTTGGCCCTTGAATAATGGGCCCTCCCAATCCAGGCTGGTGTCCCCTCCCTTCCCGAGAAAAGAGAACTCTCCAGCAACTTGCAGCTTGGTAATTCTCAGTCCATGGTTCTAGGCAGCATTTTAAAGCCACTATGAGGGCATCTGAGTTACCTTGGCAATAAAGACCCTGGGTCACTGGCCAGATGTCAGAGCCTGAACTTTAGGATGAGAGAAAACCACATTCAGTCCCCCCCCTCGGCCTCTTAAAAGCTGTGAGACCTTGGGCAAGTCACTTATCTGAATCTGTGTCTTCAGTGCCTAACACAGAGCAGTGGTCTACTACATGCTGTTTATTATTATTATCGTTAGACTGTTACCTCTCAGGTCAGGATGAAGTAGGTGCTGGGAAGTTATGTGGTTTCCCACCATCATCCTCATTCACCCAGAATTCCCACAGCTACCCTCCATGAGGGGTTGCCTGTGACTTTTAATATAGAGCCCTCTGTGCTTACAATGGCCACTGACTTGGACGCCTCTGCCTGAATGGGGGTCACCTTTTCCTTCTCAGCCTAGTGACCCTCAGAGCTGCTGCTGCTTTTTTTTTTTAAGATTATTTTTTCATGTGAGACACACACACACACACACACACACACACAGAGAGAGAGAGAGAGAGAGAGAGAGAGAGAGAGAGGCAGAGACACAGGCAGAGGGAGAAGCAGGCTCCATGCAGGGAGCCCGATGTGGGACTCGATCCCGGGTCTCCAGGATCACGCCCTGGGCTGAAGGCGGCGCTAAACCGCTGAGCCACCCGGGCTGCCCAGGGCTGCTGCTTCTGCTGCAAAAGTCCATCCCACCTGGCTTTCCAGGGAAGAGGGGCTACAGAGTAGTTTTGTTTGTTTTGGGCTGGAAAAACAAGTTTCTCCTTGCTTGTCCCTGGTTTGAGCCCCTGGATTTCTGAAGCAGGATTTCTGCCCACACCCACTTGCCAATGGGTTGTACTGAAATACCCCGGAGGCGTGCTGGGAAACTGGAACGGGAAACCATGCTCCACTCCAGCCTGGACTACTTGTAAGGAGGCCACATCCAGCTGCAGAAGAACCTTCCCAGGGCCCTGAGCACACAGCAGCCACCACTAGACTGGTTCCCTTGGTGACGCCTGGCTTTCAGCCCCAAGACTGACTTCTTCCCACCTCCTCCCAGGTAGGTGTCAGCCTCCATCTCTGGCTTGGGGGAAGCTTCTGAGGTTCTTGCCAAGAACCATCTGTGCTGGCTCACCTGCAGGAGGAGAAGGAGGGGAGGATGGAGGCAGTTCTTCAAAACTTGCACCAAGAAGATGCCCAACCTCCTAAATCTATCCATAGCATATCCTGTGGCTCTAGCCTCGGCAGGTGTCTGCCCTGGGAGACAGAACAGATGAGGGTTCTGAGCTTCTGGAATGGTGGAGCTTCCTACTGGCTGTAAAAAAATAGAAACTCTTGGGTGGAAGATTACCACCAGCTCCATTAGCAGCGAAGCATACAAGAATAGCCTGACTCAGAGCCTCAGGTGACATTGGATGTTGTCTCAAGGAGTGGGTGGCTGTCAGGAGGGACTGTCAGAAGGTGCTAGGGGGACCTACCAGGCATGGGGCAGAGAGAGCAGATACACAAGTAGGTGGGTTTAGTTTGTTTTATGCACGAAACAGGAGACCAAAGAGATGAGTGAAAGGTTCGCTGTTGCCAGTCTAGATCACAGAATCGTAAAACCTTAAAGCGAGTGATCATTTGGCCCAAAGTCATTTCACAGATGTGGATGCTGAGGCCCAAACACAAGTGACTTGCCCAAGGCCGCGGAGAGACATATCCATGCTGGGTTGTAGGTTCTCGGCTCCTACATGCAGTGCTGTAGACTTGAGTCTATTTTCTATGCAGGGGCAGAGCTTATTATTTAAGGCAGTTCAGTGGAAAGCCCTGTAAAAAGTGATTAATAAACTCTTCTACTCTCATCCAGACTCTCAGATATTAGTTTTAGGCTCTGGTGGGCCATATTCATAGTTATCCATGAAACATAGTCCGTATATTTGGCTCTGTGGGATAGGACCCACTTCTCCTATTTAATTATGAAAATAAAAATCCTGGTTGTCATTACAATAGAATAACTATGTGTTTAATATAAAACAAGGAATTGCAAGCGTGGGGCTTTCTTCATGGATTATTTCTCCTTTATAAGAACTTTGGTCTTAATCAGCCTTGGCTAATTCCCTACTAACTACAAAATTCAGGCCCTGCCCTTTGCCTAGTGCCAGAGGCTCTTCCTCCAGAGGCCAGGGCTGTAGCAGCCACCAGGAGGACCTAGGGTGACACAGTCCCCTTGTCCCTGCCCACCTTCTGGAGCGCAGGATAACCATTGGTTGCTGCACTGATCTTCCAGTGGTGGGAGTATTTCTTTTGGGGGATGTTAGAGAAAGAAGTCTCTAGCTCCTACCTAATTTTTCTTCTCGAGAATGAAGTCAGAGCCCCAAGAGGCCATGCCCAATGCTTGCATCCCTGCTTGTATGTAGCCGCTTTGATTCGATGCTCAAGCAAAGCCATCAGGGTGCTTGAGTACACACACACATGTGCACACGTACACACAGAGAAAACTTTATGATTCAGCAGTTCTACTCACTCCTATAGGGACATACCTTAAAGAACCTCGTACACAGAACAAAAGGACACGCACAGTAATGTCCCTAGCAGTCTGGTAATAGAAAAAACAAAGCAACATCTCAATGTACATCAGTAAGAGAATGGGATTGTGGCCTCCCCATACAATGGACTATGATACAGCAGCAAATAAATCAATAAGTAAATAAACAAATGAACTAGAGCTACCTATGTCTGCATGGGTCAAGCCAAAAATTCTAATATGGAGCCAAAATAGTGGGATGCAATCTAAATCACGTCGAAAACACACACAAATACTCTTACGCTGCTCAGAGTTGGCAAATACCTGGAGTGAAGGGATGAAGACTTGCTTGGGGTGGGGAGAAACACGGCGGTCTCCTGAGTGAGACCGAGGGCTCTTGGATGGCATTTGCCACATTTTGTAAAACTCGGCAGTGGCTTGTGAGCGTTTATCAAATTATTGTTTGTGCATTTTATAGGTGTCAAATATTAAGTGAAAAGGAAAAAGAAAACACCGGGCCCCTGACCTAGTTCGAAATTATTTATTTACCACTGAAAGGTTTTTCGCTCCCAAGTATGACACCAGACATAGGACTACAATGTCTCATGCGTCTTTTTGTGCTTCGGTTCATGATTGCAAAACAAACACACACTTAGCACTGACAACAGGAAACACAGGCAGCAGAAACAAATCACAAGGACTAGGTCTCTCTTTTGGGGGTCCTCGCCTTGATTTGGCTTAGGCCATGGCTACCTTTCCATCCCAAAAGAACTGCCCCTGGAGAGCCTCTCTTCCAACTTACCCTCTCTACACAGTGTCATTTGGAGTGATGGGTCACTCAACCCACACCAAGGTCATCTCTCAAATTGAAATGGATAGACCCGTGCCAGGTCTTGACCGATGGGCACTCGGCCAATACACACTGATTTGATGTGAGAAGTGGAGTCACGGATTAACGGATTAACTCCCAGTCCTGGATCCCCATCACCGCATCTAGGAAAGAACCAGGTCATCCTGGGGGCCACAGCCCTGTCTATGATGGGTTCTCACTTTATTTTCACCTTGTTCCATGCCCTTTCTAGAAAACACTCCCTGACCAAGTACAAGCTGTTCCTTTCAAAAATGATCAGTTGATTTCACACAAGCTCAATTACTCGTGGTTGGTAGTAAATTGTAAATGTGTCTGGTACCACGTACGTGGATGCAAAGATTACTGAAGTCTGTCGATTTGGCAGTCTGGGCAACTTACAATTCACCAAGATGGAGTTTTGGTGGAAAATCACAGCAAATATATTCTCTTAGTAATCATTAGTTACATTTATACGGAAGCTACGAACTCTCATCAGGGGGAGGGGAGTACTCACACGTGAATGTTCAGGCCGACTGCTGAGATGGCGGATGCTTTTATCATTGAGGACTCAGGGCAGACTGATTTTTATGCCACTTCCATAAGGTATCTTTTCCTGTCTACTTCCCTATCCAATCTTCATTCATTAATTCATTCAACAGATATTTAATGAGGGCCCACAAGCTAGCTTTATTCTAGGTTTCTGGAACACAGCGGTGAACACAATGGGCAAAACCACCTGCAAGACCTATCTTGTTCCTGCGCATGGCTGCTAAGTGAGATGTTCTGTGGTGGCATTTGACTCCTATCGGGGGCAATCTTTAGTTTGGAATCTGGAAAACGAAATCCTTGGGGTACAAAGGAATGGATGCCTGGTGATGGGATGGCCATGGGCAGAGTTGATATTTCTGGCATCAGAGGCTCCCCAACCCACCTCAGACATCCTTCAGTACAACTGTGGGGCAGGTGCATAGATTTCGAAGGAAGCAGAACCCATGTTTCCTGATTTTCAGTCTAGAATCCAGACTTTTCTACATAGGAGTAGCAGATGTTGCCAAGAAGAGAGTACTGGTCAGCCCACATAGGAAATGTTTTGTTTTCTTGTGGCCATGCCAACCAAAACCGGGGGACCAGAGTGCGAGGGGAGCCTCAATAACATGTTATAGGAAATTACTAACAAATGCTTTGCCTAAAAAAAACTTGGCAGGAGGTGGCCAACCCTAATGAGCAAGATTTCCAATTATCTGAGAGACTTTCCAATTAAGCAGGGATTCGGTATTTTTTTTGTTCGGATGCTTTTCTACAGCACAGAAAGGGAAAGTCATGACCAACGGTGATGAGGCCCCTGCTCCGATTCTCAGGGAGAGGCCAAGAATGGCCTGACTTGTTGCAGGCATGTAGCATGGCCCTTACCCACCTCACCTGGGGGTTCCCTTGTAGATCACAGGACTGGGTGACAATTGAAAGCCCAGTTTGGATATCAGTAGCGACGAGCCCAAATGCAGAATCCACGGTTCTGGAAGTGCCTGGGATGGTTCTGGCACCTTCCAGTCATTGTCAGCTGCCATCTTGAAGCTTAAAGATGATCTGCGGGTGGCCACAGTTTGTTTTTAGCCAGGGAGCGCCTAGAGTTTCTGAACACTAGTTCATCATTCACAGAGCTAGAGTTGCCATGTCATTGGGCCTATTTTACAGGTGGCCAAGAACAGAACCCAGGGATCCTGGTTCATGGGCAAATATTATACCCACTCAGCAAGATTCAGCATTTAATTGACCATGTGGACAGCTGTTTGGAATAAGAAGGTAGGAATTTGAAACCTAGCTGCTGGTTACTTACTGATGAAAGTGGCGGCCCTGAAAATTGAGGAAGGGAGGCACATTTGCAAAAGACTCTCTTTTCCTATTTCAAGTTCCCTTCTTCTCTCACTTCCACGTAGCCAGATACAATAGACTAAATCAATATGTGCCTCACACTGAATTCCTCCCGAAATGGCTGCAATGCTGAGAAAGATGGATCTGTCTCAGAGGGTCACTTTGGTGATGCTGGTGGGTGTGACAACTAGCGCCTGGTGACGACCAGGGGATCCCACCTATACCTTGTTAAGGAAGATCTCCCCGAGTATAACATAAACTGATTTTGAGATAAAACAACAGAGTTCTTCAATAAAAAGCACAAGGTTCAATCCAAGAACAGGATCTGAAGAGCACAAATGAAAACATTAAGAAATAAAATAATTAAATAAAAACAAACAAACCCAGAGAGGCCTCCCAAATTTCACACTGACAGTTGAGATGTCCAGCATCGGAGCTGGCTGCCCCAGGGTGTTGGAGTCCCGACTGGGACTCTGGGAAAACCTGTCTGGAATGTCGCAGAAGGGATTTCTCCGAGTGCACTGCTCCAACCTCTGCATCAAAACCACATGGTGCTTGTTAAAAATGCAGGTGCCTGGGTTGAGGCCAGGAATATTGATTTGGAATGTCAACAGGTGGGCCCCCGGGGGATCTGCTGGTGATCTTCACACACTAAGGTTCGAGAACCTTAGTTACTGGGTTACTGTCATGGGTCAGGGGCACAATTTCATGCTGGCTAAGACGTCATCCCACCCTGACACTCCCTAATTCTAGGAGTTGATCCAGGATACTTTATTTCCTCCATCAGTTTTGAAATGCTTATTTTTAAAGACCCCCATTCTTTGTAGACACTATTCCCCACATTAAACTTTCCCTGCATCTGGCCTGACCCCACCTGCGAAATCTGCCCATGGGCTATATTTGACAAGTGTCTCTTCCACAGCACAGATGAGCAAAATGCACTCTGCAGTGCAACCCAAATGTCCTGTTTCCACACACTGCCCTGCTCATGTTTTTGAAACAAGAATGTACTAAGAGAGGGACGGGGTCCTGGCCTTTGCAAACACATCTGTCTCCTGGGTGTCAGAATGAGGATGGGGTACAAAGAGGACGTCGCAGAGAAGAGCAGGGCTGGACGGGCCGGGTTGTGCCCGAGAAGGGAGGAGCACAGGTGGCTGGCTACAGATGCAGCTGGTGCCACATGGCGATCTGCCGGCGAGGGTTCTTGAGCATCTCCTCCCAGTGGCTGCGCTCGGAGCCCGAGGCATGCAGGCCCAGGCTGCAGTGGCCAAGCGCACAGCTCTGCCCCTCCTCATCCTGGCCCAGCACCTCCAGCTCCACGCTAGAGGCCTGCAGCAGCTCATCGGGCAGCTCGAACATGATCATCTCGTTCCACACGGGGTTGATCTTGTGCTTGGCCCGTTTTGTCTGCTTCTTCTTCAGCTTCTGCGCCTGATGCTTTAAGGTCACCTTGACAGAGACATCTGGGGGAAAGAGAGAGACAGAAGGGTGAGCTTGTGGGGTGTGGTGGGCCCAGGGTGATGCTCCGTCTTAGGGCTGAAGAGACAGCATCTCTGGCTGAAGATCTACACCGAGGCTCCCCCTCTCCAGGCCCACCCCTTTCTGCTGCCATCACCGGGTTATGCATTTGGTCAAAAATTATTAAATGCCTACCCTGAGGCACTAGACATGGGGGTACAGCAAAAGTTCTTGCCTCCATAGATCTTAGACTGTAGTGTGGAAAACCAACAACAGTATAATACATCAGGGTGGTCACTGGGTGGCCCATGATTGGGTCAGGCTGGAGGCGCAACTTGCCATGCACCCTTCCAAGTGTGTTCATGTCCCACATCAAACCAGGTCCACAATAATGGCTCAGGTATACTGCAGCTATGATTTTCAATTAAGACCAGAAAAACTGAGCCATCCCCATGCCTTCATCCCATCGGTTCTCCATCCGAGCATTTTTGTGGATTATTCAGATAGAAGGTCTCCTGCTGGTTGGTTCAGTTCTTCTCTTCTGTTGGTTTATAAATTTTACTTGAGCACTCCAGCTTCATAGGGTGAAGGTGAGGGCAGACTGCCTTGGCCCCCACAGGTACTGCACCACTAGAGCTGCCCCCCCAGGACATCAGCACAGGTCACAGGACAAGCTTGCATGGAACACTACAAGGCTCAGAAGCTGGATTATGTTTTCATTAGTCAAGGTTCCTGAAGCTAATGTGAGAATAATTGTTCCTCGGTATTTATGGCTATAATTATCACCCCCGGGTGGCTAGTTTGTTATTTCAGCAGATAGATTTGAGAGACAGTGTTGTGTTGTAATTGTCCTGACAGGAGCTGTAAAAAAAAAAAAAAAAAAAAAAAAAAAAAAAAAGCAGGAAGCAAAGAATTGTCTGGAGGGGATGAGGAAAGGCACTGGCACTGAATTCTGACACTTTGGCTGGGGGCTCTGTCGGCAAGACCAGCTCTTCTGATTTCATTTGCCCCAAATTCAAAGGTTCTGAATGCGGTGGTAATTCTTTATTTGTATCCTGCTATAAATATCTGTTTATTCATATCCTGCTATGAACACTTGGCTCTGGGTCCAGGTATCACGCTGCTAACCAGTGCTGCTTGCTTTCCTGCTCTGACAAGAGAGCCTCTTTGGTGCCCAAGACTCGAGGTCTGTGCTGGGGGATCCAGAAGGAAAAACTGAGGCTTCCAGAATGTTGAAGAGATGCTTACTTGGGTATATGGGGCACAGACGCCCTAGCTTCGGGCCGCCTCAGCCCATGCACCCACACACCTTCTGTCAGCACCCACACTCAGCTGCTGTGGGGGTGGCAGGTTGGCAAAAACTGAGAAGAAAGAAGAGACTGGGGTGGGTGTGGGGCACACAGTGATGGCGAGCTAAGACAGGAGGGCAGCCTGGCCTTCCCGACAGCTACAAGTGAGGTGCATCCAGCCCAGTGGGGGTGACAGGCTGAGCTACAGTCCAGATACTCCTCTCTGTGGCTACGGTTCGATCCTTAGTTTCTTCTGATCCGGAGTAAGACTGGTTCTTCACATGTGGGTCTGCAAGGTAGGGAGCTCTAGGTAGGGCGTACTCAGGCCCGAGGAAGGGATTGGCTCAGGGGTAAATGATATGAATTTAAAGAAGAGTGTGTGATCTCACTCACCCTTTCCCAGGAGCGCCTTGGACTGGTTCGAGTGGAGGTTCTTGGCCTTAATGAGCACGACCAGGAGGCGGTTGGCAGCCGGGAGGTAGCTGATGGACACAAGGACCTCTCCAGTTCCTGCAGATGGCTCCTGAAACAGAAGAGAGGATGATGTAGGGGAGCTGCACTTAGGGGTGGCTGCTGACCCATCAACTAAAGCTGAGGCTGGAGTCACACTGGACTTGTATCCGACAGGCATCCCAGAAACCTTTTACCCACCAACAGTACCTTCCCGCAGAAGGGAGGAGGGCACAGAGGAATTATGGGCAGCATGTGCTTTAATAAGAACTTTTCATTTGCACAAAATGTGATTTTCTGAATATCAAGTATTCACACCCAACACAGAAAACAGATCAAAGAGATGACACTTAGGATGTGGCAGGGGCAGAGGGCCAGGACCCCTTCTGACCCTTCACTACCACCACCCCTACAAACTCTTGGGGTATCTTTATAGAACACTAGGGTTCTAGGGGACACAGTTTGAGAACCATTGCATCCACCGGTCAGGCTCCTGGGGGCACTGAGGAGTTGTGATTTATTACTCTGTTTGAAAAGATAATTCTTTCCAGCCCCTGTAGGGCTGAGAGTCAATAATGTGATGTACGAATGCTGAGCAGGGCCTTGCTTGGTCAACAGAATGGCCAACTGTGTCAACAGAAAAGCTGGGCATGCAGTGGTAGGAAGGGCCCCAGAGACCGCTGGCAATAACCACACTCTGCGGGAGGTAACGGATGCCTCCGCGAAGTGTCCAACATGCCTCTCCTCCGTCTCTGGCTTTAGAGCATCTCTGCTGAAATTCCTACAAGAATTTGGAATTTTGGGATGCCTGGGTGGCTCAGTGGCTGAGCATCTGCCTTTGGCTCAGGGCGTGTTCCCAGGTCTGGGATCGAGTCCCACATTGGGCTCCCTGCAAGGAGCCTGCTTCTCCCTCTGCCTATGTCTCTGCCTCTCTCTCTCTTATGAATAAATGGTTAAATCTTTAAAAAAAAAGAATTTGGAATTTCAACAAACCCACCGAGGGACATAAATGACCCAAAGAGCCCCCCAGGAGGCAGATGTCTGTCACTGACCCAAGTTGGTACTGAGGGTATAGACGCTGGCACCAGACCATCTGGGGCTGAGCTCCAGTCATACCATTCCCTCACTGTGCACCCTCCAGCACACTACCTAACTTCCCCACGCCTCCAGTTCCTCGTCTGTAAAATGGGAATAATATATCCCGCCAATGGGCCCGGCCCACAGTAAGCACTGTGGAACTATCCGCTGAGATTATCACCATCGATCATCAAGGAAGGACAACCAGCACTTTTTGAGATGACTAAGTGGGAATATTGTTTCTGGATGAAGAGGAGCCAGACTGGGTTTTGGGAGGGGGGCTGGATGAGGCTGGCTAGCCCTCTGCCCGGGTCACCCCTTTCCTCTGGGGGAAAAAATGTCTTCAACCTGACCCCAGTGATTCAAAAGGCCCTGAGTAACTAGGTCACATGACAAAATGATTCAGGAGCTGCCAGGGACTTTGGCAATGACAGGAATAATAGCAGCTAAGACTAACTAAACACTTACTATGTGCTAGGTGCAATTGCATCATCTATCCCACTAGGCTGGAAGCTCCACAAAGCCACTGCCCAGCAGGTAGCATCCAGCTGACACACAACAAATACTTGTGAGAAAGAAGAGTGAGACATCCTACTGAATCTTGACAACAACCCTAGAGACACTAATTCCATTCCCGTTTTACGCAGATGACCTTGACTCTGAGAGGGCATGTCACTGCCTGAGGTCATGTAGCCAAAGTAAGGGAAGTAGCAAAGCAGAGCCTTGAACGGAGGTCTAGTCTGACACCGAAGCCCGAGTCCTAACCCGGGGCTTTTCAGACGTCTCATTCCACAGTGAAGGAAGTGGGCCCAGGGACCTGTCCGGGCACCCAGAGGGGTGGCAGCAGTGCTGGCATGGGCCCCAGCCTCCTGATTCAAGATCATTTTCTTGGCCCGGGCTGTAGCTGGGGACAATCCAGCATCAGCGTCCTGTCTCCCCCAAGCCAGGTGAGAGGAGTCTGGGCCCGTCAGCTGGTGAAGGGCTTGTCAAGAGCCCCGGATGAGCCCCACCGGCTGTACCACAGCCCGGCGATCTTAGCAGCCTCTACCTCCTCGACTCTGCTGCTTCAAGTACCTGCCAACAAAAATAAGGCTTCCTTCACCCTCACCCTGCCCCTGTCTCTCTCCTGGGCTCTCCATGAGTCATCCAAGATGCCCTTGGAGTGGGTTGCTCCATGATCCTTGGTGACGCACATGCCACATTTTGGCTGAGCGTCTTCCGGTGCGAACTGGGGCACGGACAGCCCCTCAGTTAACCCATTCTGGCCTAGAGGAGAGAGGGTCTGGGGCCGCAGCCACTTGAAGGTTGCACCCACCTCATTCACATCAGCTCACATGCTCCAGTTGGGGCCAGGCCCACCCACCCTCACCCTCCTGGGGTGCCAGGGCCTACGTCTGCCAACATGCTGCCTCTGACATCGCTCACAAGCGTGGAAGCAGGCTAGCGGGCCACGAGGGTGTGAGGGTGTCTTTGTGGCACGGTAGCACCTATGAGCATGATGCTGAGGACAGTGAGCACGCCGTGATGGGATGGGCTTCCTCTTAATTACTGCTGTGTCTCCAGCTCCTGGCACGGGGCCTGGCACCTGCTGGAAACCAGCAAGGTATTCTTGGGATGAATGAACATGTTTTGCTCTTCTAGGAGGGAGGGACAGCCCATCCAAGACTTCCCCCTGGAGAGGCTAGATCAGCCCCCGTGGCACCAAAGTCTCCAAAGCCCTGGGGAAGCCCCTCCACTCCAGAGAAAGCTGGTTTACCAGCTGAATAAACCAATGTGTCAGATCCTCTTCCCCGGCTGTGATTCTGCTCAAGTCCCAAATCACACACTCATTAGAGAGCGTGCTTCGGAACAGCCTGGTTCCAGCTGAGAATGGCTGTCTCAATTTTTATTGACTTTCTGAGCCTGGGAAAGAAAGAAAAGTAAGGCGAGGAAGAGATGGTAGCAGAAAGGAGGGGGGGCAGGTGTCCCCATCGGCCGGAACCATCAGGAAAGGCTGTGGCCAATGGGGCCTCCCGTGCAGCAGGGCACTTCCATGGCATCCTGGTGAGGACACAGCACCCGACCTACAGCCAGACCAACCTAGCCTCAAGGCCGAGCTGGTGGCATCCCAGCTGGGTGACCTTGTGTGGGTTACCCAACCACCCTAAGCCCCAGTCCCCGTGTCTGTAAATGAGTCACAGCATCGTTTCCACCTGGCTGCTTTGAGAAAGAACTGAAGTGACGTTCCAAGCACAGGAATTGATAGATGGTGAGTACTCGAAAATTAATGCCCTTTTTAGTATTTTTATTACTCGAGCACAGGAGTCACTGAATGCTTTCTGTGAAGGGCCGGGCAGTAGGGCTTTGTGGGCTAGGTGGTCTCCCGATAAGGCACTGACCAGCTGCTTGAGACTGGTCCCCAGAAGGTTCCATCCATGGTGGCAGGCCCTGACCCAAGGGCCTAAATAACCACACACCGTCCTAGGGTCCTGACCTCTCAAACCCCTCGCTGCCCAGCCTGTGAGGAACAATGGATTGCTCCCAAGGGACCCCTCTCTGAACAGTGCAGCCTCTCGGCAGACCCTTCACATCCACTCTCGGCTCCCCCGGCAGCAGAGGCGTGGGGAGAACCATCCCAGGGCTGGTGGCCACAGAGAGCTCTGAGCTCTGGGGCTGCCCCAACCCAGTCCGTCCTTCAAAGCTCAACACAAACACCACTTCACACCAGGCCTTCTAGAACCCTCCACAGGGCACTTCGGTTAGGCCTCTCTTAGATGTCCTAGGATTCAACACAGGTCCAATATCATTGCTTTCATCATCACTCGCCTGCTCCAATGTATCCCTCTGGCCTGTAAGTTCTATGGAGAGACAGGCTCTATGTGGTGTCATCTCCGGTGCAGTGCGTGGCACACAGGAGGGACACAGGGAGCGTCCCATGAACTCAGATGGGGATATTACTGTCAGCGTTCGAGCCAATACACTCATAACATGTTTTCCACGATGGCAGGGGCATCTTTGCATGGCAAGCTAGAAGCAAAACCAGACGCCAGGAATTCCACAGCCTGGGCTATGCGTCTGCTCCAGCCTTCCACCCGGTTCACCACTCCAATCTTCCTTGCACGTGCGCATCACGCACACCCACACACTGGGAAGGTTTGTGAAACTTGCTGGCCCAGTGCCTCCACCCCAAGCTCCACTACCAGGTTTCACCGTTCCTGGCAAGGGGTTACCCTACCTTAACTGAAGTCTTCAGCTCGCCCCACTGGGCGGCCCCCAGAGGCACAGACACCCCGTCCAGGCCCAGGCGGAGCTCCCCGACCACGCTGTGGCGCGAGAAGCGGTCGCAGGTCCGCAGGGTCAGCAGCAGGGTGGCTGTGGGCAGCTCCTCCTCCGCCAGGGGGAGCACCAGGCCTTCCTCCCAGGTGGTGTGCAGCTGCCGCTTCCTCAGAGCCGTCTGGGCCTCCACGGTCCGGGTCCTGTTGGTCACGCTGCCTTGGATGTAGCAGTCACAGCCTCCGTCGTGGCCGCTGGTCACAGCTGCAGCCAACGAGACAGGGCAGGGGAGAAGCACAGGTGGGCCCGAGCTGCCGGGTCCGGCTTCGTGGTAGAGACCTCAGGGTCTGAGAGCCTCGGGCTGACCACCGTGGCTTTGTGGAATCACCTCTCAGTGAGACTCAGAAACAGCAGCTCCCCCGAGGTGGCCAGTGTCACACACACTGTCCCCAGACCACAGGGACACTATGGGGTGCTTCCCAGAGACCCACCTTCTGCTTATGAGGTGTCCCCGGGATGCCAGGCCCCACAAGCCTCTATGACTTCTGTGCTCTGATACTGTACCTGCTTGTTCTGTCCTTTAAACATTTACCACACAGCCACTGGTGACATGACTTGCTTGGCCACTATCTCTGTCATTCTCTTATTCTAAACTTGGGTGTTTTTAACGCTTCACAGTGTGAACTGATCCAGAAACTTGTACCCGTGATGCTCTTCCAGCTGGCTGCTCAATGATCCCCTGGGAAATGGTAGCTGACCTTTCCCAGGAAGAGAAGGTGAAAAACTGAAGCCATGTGTCCTGCTAGAACTTTCCACCAAGCTCCAGGGGAACTGGGGTTTAATCCTGACTCTGGCACCAATAGCTGGAGTGATCTCAGACAAGTCACCTGATTGCTAGGCCTCAGTTACTAATCTGCTAAATGGGACTGTTGTGAAGACCAAATGTCATAAAGTATGTGAAAATGCTAAAAAAAAATCTTGAAAGAACATAAAAAGGAGAAACACTCCCTAGAAACAGAAAATTTAATACAGAAGGCCAATTTCTCCTGCTCACAGCTCCCATAGAATGGTCCACTGTTAACCTCAATTCCTTTGCAAAGCCTCAGCTTTGTTTGCTGATGGTAAAGTGAACTGGTGGGGTAGGGAGACCAGGGACATCCTGACCCCCTCGGAAAGACTGCCCAGTTCTTGGATTTCAGCAGCTTCGCCGCCCATTCAGAACCCCCTCCACATCCGGCACAAAGCCCCATTCAATGTCAAAGGCACCTGCGGCAGGGTATGGCTAGCTGTTCACTAAAACCCCCTTCCTCTTTGTGCCGAGCACCTGCTAAGCCACATTTCCCAGGCTCCTTGGCAGCCAGTGGCCATGTGACCGAGCTCCAGGGGCGAGCAGGAGTGACGCATGTTCTGTGCAGGTCATGCAGGCTTTTAAGGGACAGTTGTGCTCTCTCCCTCTTCTCCCTCTCTTTCTACCTGCCAGGTTCAGATGACAAGGAGGCCTGGGAGGATTACAGAGCCCCTGATGGAAGGAGCCTGGTCCCCGAATCCCCATTTGGGGGAAGGATATTTGCCAACCAGGATTCTCCCCTTTGGAGGTTATACGAGAGGGGCCGGGAACTATACACACATTTCAGGGTTCGTTCATTACAGAGTGCTCCCTCGGGCCACAGATGCTCTCATCCCCCCTGCCCAGCTCCTCCGGGGGAGACGGACACATGGAAGCCCGTGAAAGTCAAATAAAAGTAATACCTTCCAGACGAGTCACAAACAGTTCTGCTTTCTGCTGGTCATAATCCAAGCGGTAGTGGAGTTTGGGGGCTTGGTTCCAACTGGCAGCCTTTTCCGGGTTCCAGGCCTCCATGACACACACATCCTCCACCACACCTGGTAAGAGAGGTAAGGCCGTCACTGCCACCCATGCCAGGGACCTGTCTTCTAGATCATGTCTTTCCCATCTGCCACCTACGCCATGAATATAAACCGAAGGCTCTCTAGCTGAGTGCCAAGTCGTGGTGGACACACCAGAGTGATGCCTGATGTCCTGGGATTATATATTTTTTAATATTTATTTATTTATTTATTTATTTATTTAATACAGAGAGAGCACAAGCAGTGGGGGAGACAGGCAGAGGGAGAGGGAGAAGCAGGCTCCCCGGGGAGCAGGGAGCCCGACACGGGGCTTGATCCCAGGACCCCGGGATCATGACCTGAGCTGCAGGCAGATGCTTAACCAACTGAGCCACCCAGCACCCCTGGGTTTATAGTTTGAAGGATGGTCATAGCCTAGTGGCCAAGATATGGGCTTTGTTGTCACACTTGAGCTGCCAAGTGATAGTTACGTGACCCTGGACAAGTGACTTCTCAGTTTCCTCATCTTTACACTGGGGTTAATCATAGTCCCTTTTTTCTAGAGTTACTTGCATGAAATGAAGTAAAGTGGGGAAAGTACATGACCCAGGGCCTGGCCCACAGAGAGCTTTGAGTAAGGGAAATTGTCACGGCCTGTGTGGCACCTTGTTTCAGGCAAGCCAAGCCCAGCCCATCTCCACCTGTCCCAGAGTCTAATCCCTGCTCCTCTGGTGTTCACGGCTGGAGATAAGTGTGAAAGAGTGAGGCTGGAGGGGGCAAGTGGATGCTGGGGAGGGTCAGGGGTTGTGGTGGGACTTCAGGGGAGGCTGAAGAAATGCTTGTGGAATGAATGAATGACCATATCTTTAATTCAGAAGTTCCTAAAAACACAAATATTGCTCATTCTGTACCTCATTTGAACAGGGGCCAAACATCTGGGAGACTGTCATGAGTCAAACATATTCCAAGAATCAGAGGATTCAGAAGCTGTAGCAGACTCCACTTTAGGCCAATTGGAATTTAAAAATTTTTTTATCTTCAGAACAAATTTAGAGAGTAGATATTTAAAGGACTATTTAACTTCCAAATGGTTTGTTATGTGGTGAAAAATTCCCCTGGTGCATCTAAGTAAGGAACAGATTGACCAGGCTGTGACCAATGAGTAAAACAAAACCAACACACACGCAGGACCCATGTGGCTTCCAAGGGCGCCGCACGGAGGACCACAGCAGGGTCAGTGCCAGGAGGGGGCCTGCCTGGCACCCAGAGCTCTCTGCTCTCAGATGACCTCAGCCTTCAAAATCAAAAACAGACCAAAACCGGCCCCACTTGGTAATGCAGGGATGGATTCAGCTTCCAGAAACGGGACGCTGAGCTCCACAGAGAGGTGAGGATCGTCACGGCTGGGAGCAAGACATGTCCAGCATCCTGGGGACAACACCCAATAGGCACCCCCATGCCTCTGGCCAATACTGCTGAAGAATCAACTCCTGATTGCTTTCTGTCGAGCCAGTGCTTGGCTTCCCGGGTGGGAAAAAAGAATGAGGAATGACGACAAAGAGAAGATGAGCTAATGTTCTGAATTCTTCAAAGTTCCAGTCTCTGACACACTCTCCTGCTCTTCATGGTGGAGAGCAACCAATCCTGGCTTCATCAGAGCTTTGAGAAATTATGATTCTGATCACTACCCCCAAGGCTCCTCATGCAAGCTCTTCCCCACCCTCCAAGCTTAAGCTCTCAAGTCCTCCATGGGTCTATTTTTATCTATTTAAAACAGGCAGGTTGGACCACCTGGGTGGCTCAGTCTGTCAGCGTCTGCCTTTGGCTCAGGTCATGATCCTGGGCTCCTGGAATCGAGTCCTGCATCAGGCTCCCTGCTCAGCAGGGAGTCTGCTTCTCCTTCTCCCTCTGCCCCTCCCCCTGCTCATGCTCTCTGTCTCTCAAATAAAAAGACAATCTTTAAAATAAAAACAAAATGTAGGCTGGAGGCTTAAAGTGAAGCAGATTCATTCATGCCACAGGCGCTACATGAATCTGTTCTTCAAGAAATGCCAGGCTAATCACCATGGTCCTGGGTAGGTCTGGGTGGAAGGGTGTCTGTCCACTGGCCACATGGGGTACACCTGGACCTGGGCCAGGAGATGCACAAAAATCGGGGTCAATGTCAGAGCTGCTTCCTCTACTGCCATCTCCTTGTCCAACCACATGCACAAAACCGCCAAACCACACAGCCATCCATTCTCCCGGCCGTATTTCTTGCCTCCTTAAGAAAGCCTGCATGCGGGCAGCCCCGGTGGCACAGGGGTTTAGTGCCACCTGCAGCCCAGGGCCTGATCCTGGAGACCCGGGATCGAGTACCACATCAGGCTCTCTGCATGGTGCCTGCTTCTCCCTCTGCCTGTGTCTCTGCCTCTCTCTCTCTCTCTCTCTCTCTCTCGTGTCTCTACGAATAAATAAATAAAAAATCTTAAAAAAAAAACAAAGCAAGCAAGCCTGCATGCTCCTTTGGGTTAGGGACGTGTCTGCTTTGCACATCTGCCCCCAGAGCCCAGCACAGCAGTGTAGCCTGAACCGTGTTCTATCTTGAAATCCACACTGATGAGAAGAAGAGAAACACAATAATAACAATATGTTGTGATTACATCCTTTGGGCCACACCCTGGGATGAGTACTTTGTATATGTTATTTTATTTACACTTCACTACAGCCCTACTGGGCAGATAATTCTGCAGTCCCATTTTTTATGTATAAGGAAAGTGAGGCCCAGAAAGGTTAGCAACAGGACCAAAGCCACACAGCAAGTACATAAAAGGGCAGAGACTCGAACCCATGACGCTGAAAGCCCACGATCTAATCACGACTCTTCTGCATGACTTGGAGGACCCTCCACTGCCCAGTGGGAAGCTGGAGGTCTGGGAGGGAAGCGATGCAACAATAGACCTGCAGGAATAAAGCACCGTAGCTCCGGCCCCGGGCCCACCTGCTTGCCCAGAGTCAAATGCTATGGATGCTGGGGCTGGCCATGTGCGGCATCTACAGAGACACCGTTAGGCAGCCCCCCTCCCGCACCCTCCCCCTGTCCTGCCTATAAAGGAACCAGGGACAGAAGACCCCTACCATTCTGAGGAAGGATGAACAGCTCCTCTGTGACCTGCCTCTTGAGGCGGCTGTCATTCGGGGCCTGGGGGCTGGCAGGTGCAGCAGGCTCCTCCGTGGTCTTCAGAGTGTAGTCCGCATAGTTGATGACCTCCGGGGCTGTCACAGCCGGCCTGGGTCCGTAGATGTCTGGGAACTTGAGGAGGGCTCGGGGCTGGACGGGCTCCGTGGACTTTTTAACATTGAACTGCAAACACACATCGCTCGGATTAGTCCATGAGGGGACCGGGTCCCGCCTGTGTCCTACCCACAGAGAGGAGATGCCCTGACCTGACCTTTCATGAGAGGCCGAGGGAAGACTATGGTCCCTTTCCGCATTTAGGGGCACCACCTAAGAAACCAAAACAGCATCTCCGAACCTACCAGAAACCACGACATCCTGAGTGCCATCAACCCTGTTCATCCATGCCTCCTCCTGCTGCCCACTGGTCCTCTGCTGTGCCCCCAGGGGATATCCGGGACTGTCACCTGTGCTGCTTGCCTTCCTCCCTCTTCCACCCAGTGGCTCAGAAATACCAGGATTCCCACCACACTTCGAACAAAATCCAGACTTCAAGCAGTGACCTATGAGCACCTGCCCAACCCGGCCCTACTCACCTCTCTGACAGGGCCCAACAATCCTCCCTCCCACCCCTCCAGCCACTGACCTTTCTGCTTCTCAAACAGGCTGAACTCTTTCTGGGTCTGATTTCTGGCCCCCAACCCCTCCCCCCCCCAACAACTCCCCACCCCGGCCTGCTATAAATTAATTCCCTCCCTCATGCCTGTCCCCTCCCTTTCACCACATCCTGCTGTTGGCTTTATAGCACTGAGCTCACCTTCTATTGTTTTGTTATGGGTTGGCCTGTTTGGCCATTAGCGTGGGGCTCCATTAGCAGGGGCATTGGGTCTTGTCTTCCTCCTTCTGTGTCCCCGGTGTCTGCTCAGAGGGAGTACGCAGCATGAAACTATGGCTAGGGCTGCCATGCTTAGCTGTATGGTTTGTGCACTGCACAAAGGAGCCTAGATGAGGGGCAAGCGGGGCAAAAGCAGTCTGTGCCCGACTTGCCCAGCTGTGTGCCCTGAGGTAGGGCCTTAGTCCACCCAGGGGAAAGAGTGTCTTTTTCTTTACACAAAGGCCCACTCACTTGTGAAGCTTTAAATCTTCAGGGCTGCCTCACACAGAGGAGTGGAAGGAGTGGAATCTTCTATCTTTGTCTCTATTAGGGGCTGAGATATCTTCTACCTGAGGGATTCAAACTGGCCAGCGGTCAAGGTTGCTCTCTCTAGTGACAGCAATGAACCAGGGGCTGGGGAGTGGGAGCAGGGGTAGGGCTGGGGGTAATGCGGTCCTGGAGGGGGACAGCACTTAGAAGCTTACGCTGCTGCAAAGTGTGTGTGGACAGTGTTTGCACACTCGACATTCGCCTATCCCAGGAGAAATCCTGGACATTCTGTCCTCATTGGCATCTGTTCCTGATCGTTGGTGAGGGAGGCTGGATCTCAGTGAGAAGGCATTCCTAACTGTCCTCATCAACTAGACAACAAATGAGGGGTGCCCCAGGGCTCAAAGGGGCCAGAGGCAGGAGCTGGTTGTCTCCTGGCCATCATGCAGGTTGCTGCCCGGCCCTACAACGCCCTAAGGGACTTGGGATAAGACATTTCATTCCTCTCTTGGAAACGACAGTACGACCAGCAAAGGCACCTCTATCCCCATCTCTGCTGAGTGTGCCTGACACGTACGGCCTCGAAAAGCATCTCTGACTTAAATGGAACGAAGCTGCCCAGGAGCAGATCGTGCGGGCGGCAGCAGGATTACAACCCCAGTCAGCCTGGCTCCAAAGCCCACTGTCACTGTGGCTCCGACCTCCTTCCTGAGCCTTCCAGCCTTTATAGGCACAACACCCACCCATCAGAAAACACCTGTCACTGTCACACATACTGGACCAGTACCCCACAGAGGGACCTGTATGATTTGCAAAATCAGGTCCCCTTTGCACCCCCACCCACTGCATTGACCACATCACTGGGCATCAGGGGCCCTGGCTTCTGGCGCTGCCCCAACTGCCAGAGCTGAGCAACTCCTGGCAGGTCATTTCACCCCTCTGAGTTGTCACCTCAAGTGACAGGCGATTTCAAGGCTTATTCCACAGTCTGATCTACAAAGAGGTGAGAGATACAGCTCTTTATTCACAGGTACAGGTGAGTTGGGGAGTCGATCACACACTGGAGAGTAAATAACAGGTATATTTGGCAGTTGGTTGGGGGGCAAGACAGAAGCAGGCAGCAGGCAGTCTGGGGGCGAGCAGATGGTGCGTGCAGGCAGCAAGCAGGCATCTGAGAGGCCGGGGAGGGCTTCAGGGAGGATCCTGGGTGGGAGCTAGACCTCGGGGCATTGGAAAGTGGGGTACGGGTCAGGGGGGATAGGGGTGGAGGAAGGCTGTGCTCCTGACCTGAGAAGCCCAAGGCCCGAAAGGAGACACAGCAACGGGCTGATGTCCCCATGTCTTTTTATCCTCCCCACCTCCAATATTCCATCCAAGTCTGAGTTACATATATTAATTACACTATAGTACAACGAGGAAACAGAGGCTTGAGAAGTTTAAAGTCATACAGCTGACAAGTGGTATATGATTGGGCCTCCAGATATTTTGACTGCAAATTTGCATCACTTCCACTGCCCTGCAGCTGCTTTAAAAAAGAAGAAGAAGAAAAAAAGGAACAAATCCCTGTTTGTCTTGGACGCTGGATGCTAAGTGGCGATGGCAGCGTCCGGGTTCGGGCCACTGCTGCTCCATCCTGTTCATCAGACAAGGGCACTCGGCTTCCCACGGGGACTACTGGGCACCCAGCGCCTTCTCGGAGCCATCCTGTCACTTGCTGGGTCCAGAACTACGTTGTTTGGCTGGTTTGGGGGACACTTTTGTGGTTTTACATTTGGTTTCAAATCCAGTTCAATCACTTTGGAAAGAGGGGTATATTGATTGCCTTCCAGTTTGATCACATTGGGCTGGTTCTGCATTTTTCGTAGGAAAATGTACACCTGGCTCGGTTCTGACTGAGGCTCCCCCCTGTCTTGCCTCAAGTCTCCGCAGAGCCTGGGTCGGCCTTTCTCCCTACTCTGCACATGAAGCTCTGAGAAGAGCTTCACGTGCAGCCCCAGAGCACAAAGTCGGGGTTTTCTCAGCTGTCTGCAAATATCCGTCCTGTCCGTGCTGCCCTCCCTCCAGATCGCCAGGTTTCCTGAGTCACACCCCAGCTACAGCTGTGGGGTGGCAGGCAGGGACCTGTTTAGCCTGATCCTATCAGTCCTCGGGTACTGTTTCCACCACAGAGGCTGGCACCTGTCCTGGAAAGCCAACCCGGACAGAATGGAAAGCCTTGCATTTCACTGTAGGAGAAGAGATCCCCTTCCCGGCTGGACAGGAAGCCTATGGCCTTAACTGGTGAATACGGGATAAGCCAGCCTTCAGCCAGCGTGGACGTGGTGGACGGCAGGGTGGAGAGAAAAAAGGAACCTGTGTCTCCGGTGACGGGGTCATTAAGCCCCTGAATCACCCAAGCCTGGTATCCCACCTCTGTCCCTCAAGTCACCCGAGCAGTACTGTCCGTATTGCTCAGGCTGGTTCGGAGGGAGGTCTTTGGGATTTGCAGCCGGGAGCATCCTGAACTGATGCCCTGCGTTTTCAGTGAGCGTCCCAGGACACCACGACTGGGGTAGAGAAACCACCTAGGGCTCGGACACCATTCCCACCTCCTGAATGTCCCCGCACCCGGCCAAGGGCGTGCTCGCTCGCTGTCTAGCCTTGCCCTGCCCTGGTAAGATCCTGTGTGGTGATGGCTCCCCGAAGTGGAGAGTGATCTGCAGGCCTTAGCTGGCCAGAGAGCAGAGTCCGATGACTGCTACATGACTCTGTTCAAGCAGGAAAAGCAGCGGCCGATTACCTACCCCGTTCTCTTGTACAAACTTTATTCACTGCATTTCAAGACTCTGGTTCCACCAAATCTTTCACGTGCATCTATGTTTCCACTTTAAACAGCTGGAACTCCAGTGGCCCAGAAGCAGAAAAAAGGTTTGGGAGTGAGGGAGGGGGGCTGGGAAAGCATCACGAGTGGAGCAAAAGCAAGAATGGCTGGGAGGAGGGGGGTACAGGGGAGCAGATCCTCAAACAAGGGCTTGCGTTCAAGCCTAACCCCGCAGGGCGAGACGGGCAGGATTTGGAAGTGGGGATTCTCTCTCCAATGTCCCTTGAACCCAGGGTGGAGATACCCACGCAGAATGAATCAGGGGGAAGCTTCCAGAGGGGTAGGCATTCAACAATCAGGGAACGTCGACCTGTGCTGGCACGGCAGGTACAGAGATAGGAGATCTCTCTGATGTGTCTCTGCAGGTTCTCCCTGCCTCACCTGTCTTGGGGCCAGGCCTTGGGCCACTTGCTGCTGCTGAGTGTGGACTCTGAGCAGCTTCACAGGGCACAGCCCCACCGCGCCTTGTGGTCACGCCCACCCCTCTCCCTTCTTGCCATCTGCCCTGGGGTTGCCTCAGGGGCTGCTGGGTCTGTGAGATGCCCAGGGGCGCTCTGGGCCCGCCCTAGGGCAACCTGGCTGTGCCACAACTTAATACACCCCCACGTTAGAGGGTCAGGGGTGCTTGACCACTGCGAGCTGGAAGCCAGACCTGAATTCTTCTCCTCTCCTCCTTCCTACCCCTCCCAAAAGTATCTCCAGTCACCTCTTGGAAGCTGACACCTCCAGCAATCACCCTGATGCCAGGTGGTGGCTGGCTCGGTAACACCCCAGTGTGTGCCCTCCCCGTGCCCCCCCGCCCCACATCCCTTTGCACTTCCTGCTGCAGAGTAGCACAGAGGCCTCAGAGCAGGCTCAGTTTTCCCTAATCCAGGCTAAGACAGATGGTGTGGGGAGGAGGGGGCGAGCCTTCATTTAATGAACAAATATTTATTGAGCCCTGCTACAGGCCAGGTCCTATGCTAAGTGTTAGGGACACAGAAGTGAACAAGACAGACGCTGTCCTTCCCTTATGGGGCCTGTGTTGGAAAAAGAGAAATTAATTATGTAGTTAATGATCTGTAAACAAACGCTTAACCTTACCAGAGATGTTAGGCGACCCCTTTTGCAACATGATTAATTTTTCCACCTGAAGGCTGTTTATTAAATTGGGCTTTCGTGCTAGGGCATCCATCTTAAAGC